TATTGTAAGACATCATTTTTATTAAATACACTGTAATACAAGAGACTTTCCATGTCATGTTGAGAGAAGCTGGTCACATGATTCACAAACAAAACTTTTAACACTGATACCTAGGCATCACTTTGAAATCAGCCAAGATGCAATGAAAGTTTTAAAGCAATGACTACTTGCAACAAACTGCAAAACAAGAACCACTAAGTATTTCCACAGAGACATCACATTAAATAAATTTTTAAATAAAAGGAAAAAAGAAAGGAGAAAGATAGCTCTACACACCAGGTCACAATTTGGTGACAATATAGATATTTATATTTGTATGTAGATATCTTCCTCTTTACCTAATGTGACAAACAGAGTGATATCTAGAAATATATATACATAAAGTATAGGTGGAGAGAAGGGCTGGGACAAATATTTCATAATTAATTGGTTCTCTCTCTCTATTGGTGATTCAATTAAACATAAATTTTGAATTAAATTATTTGTGTATAAAACATTCTTAGGTGCTTTTCTATAAGTTAGGAAAGATACATATAAGCTGCAAGAATTAGGCCTCTGGATAGATTTGATTTGTTCTGTTTTCTCACATATTCCAATCGACGGCCTCACTTACTAGCAGCTTCCATAATCCTTGCTCAAATATTCAGTGTTTATAAAACATCAGCCAGTCTTCACTCAGAACCTTCTACAAGCAAACAAAAATCTCCACAGACCTTGTGCAGAATGCATAGACGGAAAAATAACACATCCATCATTTCCCATTTCTTCTCCTGAGACATATGTTTAAAAGATGGCAAAATAGTCACTTTGTTGCTATTGTGAATTTCACAGTGTTTTCCCTGCAACATGTAGACTTTTTTCCTTTTTTTGCTTCATATTTGTGATGAACAACATATCCCCCCCACCCTGCCCAAATAAAGGTGTTTTAACTAAGGCTCTAAAGGACCTCTTATTCAAAGCAGCAGTGGTTTATTCCAGTCCTCACAAAAAGAAAATACAACTTCTTACGCTATCAAAACCTAAATCTCTCTTTAGAAATCCCAACTTCCGCTCCAGTCCCTCACCACTCCCTTTCCCCACATTTTATAGCAGTATTTTAAATTCAGTTACAGGCCACAACAACGCAAATGTGGACTTGTGGACTAATACATGAATTATACCTTAGTCATTTGGTTATTTAATTTCTTTTAAAAGTGTTTTTAAAAGTCTACATCAACCACAATCTCTTATAAAGGTGGGGAGGGTACAGATAGAGAGAGAAAGAGAGGGAAAGAAAGAATTATAAGAGAAGGAAAGAAGGGGAAAGACAGGAAAA